CACAAGCTATGACAAAGTAAATGCAACTCGGGCCCACTTGTCACCTGTCACTCGCATCCATTTTACTCTCGTTAACGGTAACTCTCCAATATATTTCAACGACACTGTCATTTTATAAAATGTCTGGAAATAAGAAGACAGTTTTATTACCATTTTTGTTAATATTGACTTGATTTATTTTCAATTTATCTAGCCTAGTAAGGAGAAACGATTTCTTTGTTTTGTAACAAATAAAGTTAAAAACTACTGAATCTATTACAATTCTTATATAATTAGAATTCTACATTATCCCCGAGTGACACTTTATACTAAAAAATTCATTACGTGAACACTCTGTTAATTTTAACAAAAAAGTACACCGGATGACTAAATGCACTTTAATCTTCACTTGTGTGTAGGAATGTACGTCCTGGTACAGGATATTTTAAAAATGCACTGCTTGCAGCCGCGGCCACGTGCAAAAACTAGTCTCTGGGGATTTCCTTGAAGTAAGCAACGGACTTTTAACATGAAAGATTTGAGCGTAATTAAAAACTTTTGACTAGACTTAACTAAGCCTAGTTGATCGAAGTAAAAAAATTAAAGCGGCTGTTGGAAGCTTAAATTAATATAGTTTAATTTTTTTCACAATTAAGATTCAATATTAAAGTTATACAGATATCGTAAAAGATAAAACAAGAAAAGGTCTAATTTTACTCTCTTTCCCTTTCCACTCTTTTTCTTAAGAGGATGGGATGGTAAGGAAAGATGGATTTGACGGTGAAGGAAACGCATAGGAAGGGGAAATGTCCTCTATATGTGCGTCTCCTCCGTCAATTAAGGGTAGGCAACGCATCTGTATTTGCGGATGTTTAAGGGCAGCGGTCGCTTTCGGTGGATTCATGTAGCCGCTTGCTCGTTTGCCACCCTATATTATAAAAAAAAAAGAAAAATAATTTCATAATAGCATGTAAAAATTTTAACGTATTAAAATGTATCAGGATTAATCTCATTTACATTACAAAGTTTAATGAACTTTATGACGTCACACTCCGCACGTTAATCAACTGCTACAATTTCTGAACTAATTTAAATATTCACGGCGTTTCACACGAGCTCCGCCCTTCCACTGTCAACCGCACATAACAGCTGTCGCTTTAAACTGCATAAAATTATGCGAAACATTTCATTGCACGCCTGTACTTATTAACACGGTAATGACAATCATCGAGACAAGTTTTATACAGAACATTAAATTGATTTTAATGGGCGAATGAGGCTATTGCTATGCTCATTTGGTGACATTGGAGTTTGTGACACTAATGTAAAACTAGATATTGCTCGCGACTTCGCCCGCGTGAAAATAAAAAATATAGCCTTAGTTATTCAATGACAACGTAGCAATGACAACGTTTTTGAAATCGGCCCAGTAATTTTTGAATTATTTAATTACATACAAAAACATAAAAATACAAATCTTTCCACGTTATAATATTAGTATAGATATAAAAAGCGCTTTTTCTCTTTGCTTTTTCTTTCTGACGCCGAGCTCAGAAATTATTAATTTAAAACTGAATTTAATGTTACTTGAAACTTCAAAGTACTCAAAACTATTTTAATCTGCAGTAAGTGATAGTTTTATTTAGGGGGCAACACATCACATTTACGTCGTTACGTTTAGTCGCTGTCAATTCTTCTCTTTTTTTTTATAATAAAAGGGGGCAAACGAGCGGCGTGAACAGCAAGGTGGTCAACGACGCCCATGGACATCCGCAACACCAGAGGAACTACAGATGCGTTGCCGGCCTTTGAGAAAATGATAGGCTCGCTTCTTGAAGGACCCTAAGTCGTATTGGTTATTAATATTGGTCGTAATTCTTCTTAGATTTATCCCTACCATTGTACCCTCCCATAGGGAACAGCTAGTTACGTAAACTGAAAACTTTTCCCATAATCTCACTGTTCCATTTTGAATTCTGTCTGAAAATAATTTTATGACGAATGCTAAGTTTAAATTACTCGTACTAGAGAATATTTGAATTTATGTGGAGCAGACGTCGCCTGAAGTTTGTCACGTTTCTTGTGTAAAATATTGACGACTGTACCATGTTTTAGACTAAGGTATAAGTGAGGTCTTAAGTTTGAATCCATCAATTATTATAATGTACGTATTTATTGATATTTTATTTTTAAAATCTTGTTTATCTTTTAGACACTTTTCTTTTCTACTTTCTTCTTTTAAACCATTCATTTAATGTCTACAAGCGGAGTGTTTCTGAACAATTTGTTAAAAATAGTTAATTTTTTTATTACTAGGTTGTTTATCGATTAAGATAGGCAATATCAAAGGGAATAGAAGCTATTAAATCATTTTATAGTCTAGTAAATCAGTAGTAAACCTAAACATGTAAACTGTTTCGCAGTAATTTTAATGCTAAGCTAATTATCAGATAAACTATTTAACGATTACCGACCACTTGCAATTTCTTCGAGTAATCAAGACGAACATTATCCGACGTTAAAGTGCTAACGAGCTCTTGTCTGATCTTAATTTAAATAACTTTAGTTTAAGATATATTTTAATTATATCAATCTATCAATAGGAAAATATATAGCTTCGGTGGCTCAGTGGTTTAAGGACTTGACTTGTAATCTACAGGTCTTGGGTTCGAATCCCGCTGTACCAATGTGATTTTCGATTTTTCGAATTTTCATATGTACATAATTTACCCGACATTCTTACGGCGAAGGGAAACATCGTGATGCAACCTGCACATATCGGCGAAGAAATTCAAAGATATGTTTGAAATCAACCAACCCGCAGTGGGCCAGCGTGTTGACTATGGCCTAGTCACCCTAACTTAGGGTAGGCTCCGAGCCCCTCTATGGAAACATATAGCTAGCTGGTGATGATGATCAATAGGAATTATTCAATTTATAATAAAAATGATATATTAACTGGTGATAGTGACAAGCTTTTTAACAAAATTTATGTAACATACTGGCCATTTTTGGGTTTTGATAAATAAAGTTCACATATTGCAAAAGAAATACAGACATTTTATTCATAGAACATTTAAAAAAAGATAATATCGTTATTGTAAAATCTATTAAGGATCTGATATAACATTGCTTTAAAATATTACCAGCCAATATGATCCGATTAACAGTAACTTCAGTATAAAGACAGTTAACCTATAACCTCTAACTTTGAGGTTAAATTCGGTTGTATTTTATAAAATTCAATGAACAAAAGTCAATTACTTACAATACTCAGAACAGCAAGATAACCTAGTTAGTGAACAAGCGTCACTTTTGCTAGCAATAAATATAAAACTCAATTTATTTTTTCACGTAACATAGTTCCAGATCAAAAAAACTTCAAAAAAGATCAAAAAAAGATTTAAATACAAAAATAAATCGAAGCTAAAAAACCGACGTAAATAAAATTTTACGTAAAAACTATTCACGATTTCAAAACACAATGAAAAAAAATGTTGGCCACAAAGAAGTAGAAAAAAAACGAAGCTTCGTAAACTAATTGAAAAAGGAACAAATCGGGTAATAATTAAATTTAGTGAATCATAAATGTTTATTTTATAACCTTATAAAATTTCTCTCGTCAAGTAATAAAAATCACTTTCACCATCGTTACAATAAAGTAAGTGTTTGACCTGGAAGCACGAAAATGTCGATTTTTTGATCGACGAGCGAATTGATAATTTGTAATTGTCACAACATGGCCGCAACACAGGTTTTATTCTGATAAACGCGTATTAAATGCTGACATAAATGTTTTGTTTATATATTTTTAATGTTGCTGGTAACACAGTTATATGCTGTTTTTTTTAGGTATGAGAATCTTTTTTTGTATATAGTTTTGAAATAGTAGGCAGTATGTACAAGGATTTTTGTGCGATATTTAAAAAGAAAAATGTTTAAGTAGGCACTTCGAATGAGAATTGTAACGTACATAATTTTGGTAATAATCATTGATTGTTTTTATTCGCAAATATATAAAAAACTACATACAGACCAGAAACTAAATAGTAACATCACTACAGCAAATGGTAAAAGGCAGTCTAAGTTGCAAGAACTTCCTTAACTTCTTTTTACATCTGATTTAAATAGTTTCGCAGATTTCATTTACGATACGAGATGTTGAATGTTCTATATTATCCATAAATGGCGACTTGCGTGAGTCTTCGCATATAAGGTGGATTTCCACGGTGCGAATAACAGACAGGTAACGACCACAACATATACTACACACCTTTTTAACGATATGAAATAACTTGAAGCATCTTCATACAACAGACATATCTAACGCTGTTTCGATAGTTTACGTAACGTCTGTTCATGTCTCTTCAAGCTCGCACAGTGGAAGTCCACCTTTAAATGCCTTTTGTACAGACTATAAATATGAGTGCGGAGACAAACCAGTCGGCTCACAGATTAAATATTATTAGTATCGAATGGAATTCCCTGTTATCTATAGCTCAATTTATTATATTCAAGTTTTAAATTAAAAAGATGTGAGATAAAACTTGTAATTAGAAACTTTAAACTAACTTGATACCGATTTGTATGTTCTTGTTATTACTTAATAATAGATATGAAGAGAATATAATTAAAAACAGCGGCAAAAATTAATAATTCCGCGTTTCGTTTGATGAGTATGCATGCTTGTGCCTAATTGTTGTCCTTTTTTCCTCCCAATCTTTATCTTATAAGCAAAAGATCTTATGGGAAAATGTATTTAACGGAAGAGTGGACGTACAGGAAGAGGAGTTGTCCTCTTTCGTAGGTTAAAGGTAGTCTATGGGAGATAGCATCGCTATTACAACGAATACATATGGCCTAATGCTCATTTGTCCCATATAATACAAAAGACAACGCGACATTTAGATATTGAGGGTCAATTAAAAATACAACGAAAAAAGCAAAATCTGTTGAAATTGAAAATTGTGATTCAGAAAAAAGTGGACAAAGACTTGTAGGGGATGATTTTGGGGTGGTACCTGGTGCGCGGGCGGCATGCATGTGTGGAGCGCTGGCGCGCGCGGCGCATCACCGCACCTCCAACGCAACCTGAAAACCACAAACACCATTAAATCACTATCTATTATTCTACTCCCGTAAGGTCGGCGCAACGGGTTTTTGTCCCCTACATAATTCTATCAAACATCATCTCAGTCATCACTCTCTTGATTATGTCACCTTTCACGCAATCCATCTCTTTCTAGGTCTATCTCTACTGGTGTACCACAGTCATAACAATCTCCTTGTTACATGCGATTCATCCCTCCTTCATCAGTTTGAATTCATCTATACTATTATAAAGAGGAAAGATTTGTACGTGCATGTATTGAAATAACCCTAAAACTACATGGCCAATTTCAAAAATTCTTTCACAATTAAAAAGCTACGTTATCATTTTTTTATTACAAATCAAGTTCACGCTTGCAAAGTCGCGAGCAAAAGTTGATATAAGTTAATAAATATATCGTCGCTGCTAAGATAAGCCTATTATTAATTCGAAATTAGAGCAAACGGTATAATTATGGTATTAACGTAAGTTTCGCTGATGTTTCACTTCAATTTACTGCTAATTTTCGTCCATTTACTTACGAATACCTTTGGCGACCGCAATACCGTCGGCTAACAGTACGTGACGCGACTAACTGCCTCGCTGCCTCAACAGATTTACTAGCCTTTACGGAATATTTATATAACTAAGAGGAATCTCGTACGCGTTACCTCGCATAGTTACAATGATTCAATGAAATCTTTTTTTCTTGTAACTAGTAGCATGAAAACGATTAACCACCCGGCAATACACTCCCTTCTGTGTGGTATTACTGCTCTTTCAACAAACCGTGTAACTAATGATGTGCAGTTTGGCGACTTTTCATTTATAAGTCCACTAACTCACCGATGTTTGGTCCGCGAGGAATTAAAAAAAAGTGAGTAGCCTATGTGTTCTTCGAGACAAAAAATTTCATCGTGATCCGTAAATCCGTTTAAACTACAAACTCTAACAAACATCCATCCATCTAAAGTTTTGCATTTATTATAAAAAAAATATGTACATAAATAAGTGAGAGATGTATATTTTTTCTTATGTCAACAAATAAATACTCTACCACTGTTATGTTTTTAGTCGGTTTGATTTGTTGGAGTCTAATTTTTCTAATCTAAATATCCAGATACTTTAGACTTCAATCGTAAAATTTTAATTATACTCGTAATAACCTAACATTACTTAACAAATTTTTTGAAATACTTTTGTTAATATATAAATTACTTAATTGCAAACATTAAACTAACAATTCGCTTTAATAAAATAAGAATAGAGGTTTAAAGCGCAATAAAAGTCGACTTTGCATATCACTAAGTACAGCCGAGGGCAATATTTCAAAGGAATGGTATATAAACGAGCATTTGTAGAATTACGCTGCTTTATTTGACTTTGTAAAGTTAATTACTTGAAAGTACACGCAAAAAATAAGATATTTTTCCCTAGTGTAACTTTACTTACTGTAAAAGCTAAAACTTAAAACATTTAACTTTTTTCTTTATTTTAATTAAATTTATACTATTAGAATTACGTGAAAGACGTAATATAAAGAAATATTTTGTTTCAAACTAAATTATCTATCTATAATCTATACTATTATAATAAAGCGTAAACACACACTTCTTTGTTGCCTAAGATGTCAGCAATTACAGCATATTTTTGAATAATTCCTTTTTCAATAAAAAGCCCTACACTTACGTCACACTTTAGGCTATATATTTTTACGCCATTAAACTTAGGGAGTAAATATTTTGTATGAAAACCTTAATGTGGGAAAGAGACCATAAGTTGCTGCCAACATTAAGGAAGCAAGGTTGCCATGGTTTGTCATAATGTCATGTCATTTTGACATTTGCAATTGATAAATTGACACAAGCAAATAACAAAGTAAATTTTTCATAATTTCATGCGAATGAAGTCGCACAGGAACAGCTATTAAAATTTTATTTTGATAGTAAATGATTTATCGTGAAGACTTTTACTCTGATATAGTTTACGAGCATACTCAAATGGCAGGGTAATATGAGGTCGGTCGTATTATAACTAACTGGTTGTTGCTCGCGACTTCGTCCGCGTAGAGTTAACCAAAAGTAGTAGCCTATTATACTCAGTGATTACATAGCTTTTTAATGTAAGAAATTTGAAATCGGTCCAGTAGCTTTTGAATTTTCTTTTCTTGTTAAGTTTGAGTTTTTTTGAGTTGAGTCTGTATTCCAGTCTATACATATCATAAAATTGGAGTGTATGTTTGTAAAATCAAAAGAACAATTTCATATTTTGGGAAAATAATGTATTTGCGTTGCGGATAACAAAAATCGCACTTAATTTAAAGCCACGTTTGTTCCGGGTAATATCCGAAATGGCTGGGCCGATTTTGAAGGGACTTTTATTGGGGAGGTAGCTGACATGCATAGGCATTTTTAATTCCGCGCTGTCAAAATAGCGTAATGGGTGGTACAAATTTGAGCTAGCGAAGTTTGCGGGCAACAGCGCATATTCAGTTACATAGAATTAGTTAAGTTTCAAGTGAAAATTAATAAAGTACCCAACCATTGTAAAACTTAGAAAGTAAGGACCGATGACCTTTAACGATTTACTAAAAGTGGTGGCAAAGAGGTGGGAACCCTGAATTCCAGTTACACGAGTTGGTACAGTAATTATTACCATTTACAGCTCAGCTAGTTAGAAAACACCGCGGGCCACACAAGCTTATTGGATTAGTTCTTCATTTAATTTAAATTAAATATAACGAGCGAACAAACATAATATACTTATGGTTTAAAAAACATTACTTTCGAAGTAACTTTACGATAACCGCATTGTATTAAAAATGTGAACATATTTGAATCTATTTTATCACATGTTTTAGACAATTGTTAACATATCAAGATTTTATTATTTATACTAATACTAATAATATTTTTTACAGTGGTAGTGCCCGCTTTAACATCTTAGCACTGCAGGGCCGGCACGCCCGGTGTAATACCACGACCACACAGAAGACAGGTGTGAAATGGAAGCAATTCCGTGTTTCGTCTGATGAGTGTGGTGCCGGAAGTCTAATTTAAGTCCAATTCTCTTTACCGCCCTTTTCTTAAAAGGAGAGGATGGGAAGGGAAAGTGGATTTGACGGAGGAAGAGATACATAGGAAGGGGAAATATCCTCTTTATGTGCATCTCCTCTGTCGGATAAGGGTAGGCAACGCATCTGCAATTGCGGATGTCTATGGGCAGCGATCGCTTCGCCATTTTGGCGGATTCAGGTGGCCGGTGGTTCGTTTGCCACCTTTTGTTATAAAAAAAAATTAAATTACAAAGAGGAAAACTTTTTGTATTTTTGTATGTATTGAAATAAGTCAAAAACTTCAGGGCCGATTTCAAAAATTCTTTCACCAACAGAAAGGTAATTGATCTGTGAGTAACATAGGCTATGACTTTTATTATTTTTTTTTTAATTCAGGGGGACGAATATTTACCTAATACTAAGTAAGGATGGATTTTAATTATTGTCAAAACCTCTTTAATTAGTGGAAGGAAATCTCAATTCTAAATACCATTACCACTCTCTACTCGTATATCTGTATCTAGTCAACTTACAAGTTCTGAAGTGCATGTGATAGTGAGAGTGGAATTTCATATAGTCTATATTAGGATGAAGTTTTGACGTGAGAATGTAATCCAGTTTGAAGACCGTAAAGCGAAACTGTCTTGTGTAATGAGACGGCGGATCGTGTCATCTACTTCTAACTAATATGTAACTAATATTATAAATGCAAAAGTTTAGATAGATGGATGTTTGATGATGTAGCCTATGTGTTCTCTCAGACTGAAAGAAGACAAAGGCTACTTGATTCTGTTTTTTTTTTCCACGCAGGCGGAGTCGCGGAAAAGCTAGTTAAAATACGAAGTTTGGATAGTTGTAAGAATTTATTACTATGTAACTCTAAAACGGTTAAACTGATCTGGTTAAAAATTGGAGTAAGATTGCCATAATATTGGAGAAAATAAAATCTGTAGGTAAAAAATCCGAATCATTAATTTACATGAAAATTTTTACGATCTGAAATCGACCTTTTTAGTTTTCGACAATATTCTTCAACAAGACAATAAAGTAAAACACTTCAATGTCCACAATTTGCGGTACGCAAATTGCACTAAATTTTGCACATCTGACACACTGCTGTCAACTTTCTAACACATTCGTAAAACAATACGTTATTGACATTTAAATGTACGACGTTATAAGTATGGACAATGTAAAAGTAACGGATTTTAACATAAACATTGTATTCTAGAAATACAAAAATTGTCAGTAATAAAAAAATTAAATTGACTTTAAATATATCAGATGATTTAATGCATATTCGATTTAACTGTAAAAAATAAACAATAAAATGTAATATATATCGTGTTGTTCAACATCCTTCTGAGCAGTGTGTCTCAAATATAATTGTCAGAGTGGTCGGCGTTCAGACGCAGTTACCTCGAATGTGGACCGCATTTCGCAATTCGTCGACGATCATTCCACCGACTGACAGACTTGTCCATTTACAATTCAGCATTCTACAGCCTCAATCTTTGACATTAAAGAGACAGGACCTGTCAAGTGCGTTAATTCCTCACTTTCAAATAAAAATTAACACAATTTTGTGTTCATAAATTTTTAAGTCAGTGTGCATTTATATATACATGAGTGTTTTTGAATTTCATATGATAAAGTTACTTAACCGCCGCAAAAATTACTTAGTACAGCGCTCTTTGCCTAGTCCGTTCATCTATAATCAAAGATCTCACTATTAAAACGGACTTATTGATATTCAATATGGTTAAAGCTTTAGCGGTTTCAGTATAATGTACTAAAAGCGATTCGTGTGAGTGATTTTTGGTATTTCGCGTTTTTTGCGGTCAACACTTCCATTGCGGTTATTATACAGTAATAAGATATTTTTTCAACTGTTACTTGGATAGCGAAATCTCTACGAGAAAGTACTTTTTTTAAATATCTATAGTT